ATTTCTGCTGGGTCTGTTGTAATTTCATCCTTTTCATTCCTAATTGCATGGATTTGGGCCTTTTCTTTCCTTTTCCTGATAAGGTTGGCTAAAGGTTTGTCAATTTTGTTGATTCTCTCGAAGAATCAACTCTTGGCTTCATTGATTTTTTGTATAGTTCTCTTAGTCTCTATTGCATTGCTTTCTGCCCTGATCTTTATAATTTCCTCCCTTGTATGAGCTTAGGGTTTTTCCTGCTCTTCTCTTTCTAGAAGCTTGAGGTTCAGCATCACGTTGTTTGATTGGGCTTGCTCTGTTTTCCTAATATGAGTTTTCACTGCTATGAATTTTCCTTGTAAGACTGCTTTCATTGTGTCCCACAGATTCCAATATGTTGTATTGACATTGTCATTTAATTTTAGAAACTATCTGATTTCTTCTTTAATTTCTTGTGTGACCCATTGGTTATTCAGAAGTGTGTTGTTCAATTTGCATGTGCTTTTGAAATTCTTGCAGTTTCTTTAGCTATTGATCTCCAATTTCATCACACCATGGTCTGATAATATACAGGTGATAACTTCAATTCCTTTGCACTTACTTAAACATGTTCTATGAGCGAGTATGTGGTCTATTTTGGAGAACAATCCATGTGCAGCTGAAAAGAATGTGTATTTTGATTTTGTGGGGTGGAACACTCTGTAATCATCTTTTAAGTTCATTTGTTCAAGAGTATGATTGAGTTCCAGTATTTCATTGCTTGTTTTTTGTCTAGTTGATCTATCTATTTGTGACAGTGGGGCATTAAGTCCCCCACTACTATTGTATTAGTGCTTATTTGATTTTTCATGTCCATTATTAGTATTAGTTTTACATAGTTGGGTGCAGTAGTGTTTTGGGCATATATATTTATGATTGTCATCTTTTCCTCTTGGATTGTTCCCTTTGCAAGGATGTAGTGTCCTTCTTTGTCTCTCTTAATTAGTGTTGGTTTGAAATCCACTTGATCTCCCAAGAGGATAACTACTTCTGCTTTTTGGGGAGTTCCTGTCACATGTAGTATTGTTTTCCACTCTTTAACTTTCAATCTATGAGTTTCTTTTTGAATTAAATATGTTTCTTGTATGCAGCATATTGTTGGATCTTGCTTCTTGACCCATTCTGCCAGTCTATTTCTTTTGATTGGTGAGTTGAGACCATTAACATTGATGGTTATAACTGGTAGTATTGACTTATCATTGTCATGCCTTTTTCTTTTTGTTGGATTCTCCCCCTTTGCATTTAATTTCTTGTCGTGCCTGATGGATTCATTCTGCTGGGCTTCCTGGGGTTGTGGTCCTCATTGTCTTTTCCTAGGGTATTGTCTAAAATTTTTTGGAGTGCCATTTTGGTACTAATGAAGTTCCTAAGGTGCTCTTTGTCATGAAAGTATCTTATTTCTCCCTCAGTTTTGAAAGATAGTTTTGCAGGGTACATCAATCTGGATTGGAGACTGTTTTCCTTTAGGGCTTGATATACGTCACTCCAAGCTCTTCTTTCCTTGAGAGTTTGCTTTGAGAAGCCTGCTATGATTCTGATGGGCTTTCCTTTGTATTTGATTTGTTTCTTTTCTCTAACTACTTGTAGAATTTTGTTCTTCTGTTGGGTTTCTGGAATCTTAACTATTATATGCTTATGGATAGATTTTTTTTGATCATGCCTATTTGGAGTCCTATATGCCTCACTTATCTGTATGTCAAATTCTTTCTCCCTGCTTAGGAAGTTTTCTGCCATCAGTTCTGTGAATGGTTTTTTTTTAATGTCATCTGCACTATCTCCTGTTTCATCATTGATTCTGACCAGTCTTATGTTATTCTTCTTTGCTTTTTCTAGCAGCTGCTGGACTGATTTCTCATGGTCCCTTAGTATTTTAAAGAAAATTTTCTTTTCCTGGTCACTAATTGAAGTCTTACGTTCTATATCTGAAATTCTGTCCTCACATTGACTCATTCTGCTGCATAGACTTTCAATTGAGTTTTTAATCTCCTGGAAACCTGTTTGCATCTGTTTTATGGATTCCATTTGTTTCCTATGTTGGGATTCCATCGTGTTCCTCAGCTCCTCTATTTTTTTTTATCTGTGTCCTCTCTAGATTTATCAATCATGTCTTGCACTATGGGCACAATTTATCCTGTTATCTGAGAAATTATTTCTGATTTCATTCTTTCCAGATCCTCTTTTGTTGCCAGTTCAGGGAGTCCAGGTTGTTGAGTATCAGATAGTTCCATCTCATTTTCCTTTGGGGTTGCTGTAGGCGATCTGGAAGTCTGTTTTTGAGACTTGTTTACATGTCTTCTCATTTCCATAGGTGGTGGAATGTGCACTGCTGGCACCCTTGAAGTTCACCTCCTTGGCACTGGGGGCAGTGGTATGGTGGCCTGGAATGTTTACCTCCTCTGTGCTGGGGGCAACTCTGCTTCTTGGCACTGGGGACCACCAGTGACTTTGATCCAAGCTGCCATCACTCACCATCCACATAACTGTAATGGATGGCTGCCTGTAACTGTACTTGCTATGTGACCTTTGGTTTCCTTTCACTGTATTTTCAACACAAGCCCCGGAATAATCGTGCTGACAAACAAGTTCTATCTTGTTACTGTTGTGTAAAGCCCCTCTGTGACAATTAATTTAAATTCTATGTGTCAGCCTGGTTGGACCACTGTTGGTCCAACACTGTTCCAGATGTTTCTGAGGTGTGCTTTTTGGATGAGATTAGTGTTTGAATCGATGGGTGTGGAGTCAGCCAGTTTGCCCTGAGGGACCTGGATGGGCCGCATCCCACACATTGAAGACGCTCCTGGAAGAAAGGCTAATGCAACACAGACAAGGAGGCTGCAGGTTGCCTTTGGAGTCAAACGACTGCTGTGCTTACACTGGACATTGCAGCCTGCCTGCTCCATCAGATGCCGAGCTTGCACGATTAGGTAGGTCAATTCCTGAAAGAAAAATCCCTTGATGAACACCCTGCTGACCAGTCTTTCTGGGAAACCTTCTCCTAAACACCACTGGTGTCTTCCTGTCACCCTCCTGCAGCATCAGCACCATCCATAACCCAGGCCTCGCTCTGGTCACATGACCACCCAATTCCGATCCCGGTGCTTCACTCTTCTGTGTCCCAGGCACCCGAGTGGCTCCATGAGGAGCCTTCTGGAGAACGTTCTTTCAGTTTTCAACCAGTCCCATCCAGGGCTACCCCCACTCTGTCTTCCTCAATGGATGGGGAAATTCGAGGGGCAGGCAGTGTCTTTATTACTCCGCTGCTGCTGTACGTACAGTGTGTCTAATACATAACAGGAGATCCACAAATACGTCCCATCCCTCCCTTGGTCTCTACTCACTGCGAATTTCAAACGTGCACATTAGCATTCAGTGGTTCCTAGGGAACAAGAGGCGGGCTTATTTTTCAGTGATCACTGGGAAGTTTAGTGATTTCTAATCCAACAAGGAGAACATCGCAACACATGGAGAGAACTGCTTGTTGTCTCAAAATACTTGAAATAAATGCCAACAGAAAAGCTACTCAGACCTATTTTCCTGTCAAAAAGGGTAAATCGGCAAGGTAACAGTCAGCATGCCACATCCCAAAGCAGATACTATAACTGTTGAAAATATGTGGGTGAGATAAGTTTGGTAAATAAGATGATTTGAATTATAAAATCTTCCGAAACTTTAGCTTCTTGCTATTGGAAAGCTCCTTTTAAATCTATAGATAAACGGACATTGTGGATTAAAAGAAGTGTTTTAAAAAGAAGTGTTTTTAAAAGAAGTATTATATAAACGGAGCTCTCTACACTCATCAAGCACTTCTCTACAGTGGAGAACAAAATTTGCTTAGTTGTATAGAACACGAATATAATCTATGAGAAAAAGCAGGAAGATAATATTCACATTTGTAGCTATTTAGATTTCCTCATGGTTCAAAGTCTACTTCTATTTGAAATTTATGTTCCTTAGCTGTGAAGTTAGATGCTTTTCTTAGGTCTGAGTTTGGCTGGTCTGTCAGTAATGTGCTAGCAATAATGACAGATGCCGTGTGGCTCCCACAAGTAGTGACTTAAATTTCAAAATCTAACAGCGTGTGTTAGAGTAAGGTCTCACGTGGCTCTCTGTCATTTATTAATTTTCATATATCAACAAACACATATTCCAATGTTTGATTTATATATAAAAATGTTATTATTGTTGATCTATTTTTATGAGTGTTTCAAAGTTAGATTCTAAGGTAGATACAAGTTTATAAATTCTTCCTAAACTATTCAGTATGATGAATGAACAGAACCAAAAATAAAGATGGATAAACTTTATCAACGTTAAAGAAATCAAAGTCAGTAAATAGACACTGCATCATCTTATAAAGTCTGTGGAAAAATTTACATTTATTGGGAAATTCAAACAGACTGTGAAATAAACTCTGGTTTAGCAATTTCCCTGCTCAAAGGAAGGTGTGCTATGATACAAAGAACAACCATGCATCTCTAAACTACCAGTTCACAGCTCACTGGATGTGATGCACTCTGGGGATGAACCTGAACAAGGGAATGTGAAAACATTTATTTATTTCCCCTTCTTAAATTGTGAATCAGCATTTTTATCAAAGAAAAAGCACAGCCAATTATGCATAGTCATATTTTTCTGCACTTAACCATTTTGGTTAACTGAAAGGGGAAGATGTAAGAGAACCAAAGAATAAATTATGACTGAGTTTTTTTTAGCTGCAGGACTCCTATTAAACATGAATGAATAGGCACACAAAAGCATACTAAAATCCATAAAATGAGAACACATGGAAAATGGCAAATTATTTAACCTTAATTCTCACATAAGTGGCTAGTTCGCTGTAAGCCAAAGTGTGTGTGTGTGTGTGGAGGGGGGAAGACTCAACTAGATAAGAGACACTGAAAGAGAGGAGGACACGGCAGGAAGAGAACCTCAGAGAAAAAGAATTCAGTACATAGAGAAACCAAGTGGAAACAAAGTATACTGACCTGAACCACCTACAGTTTACAATGTCTCTCAATTCTCTTGGAATGGTGAATGGTGAACACATCAGCCCTTAACACCAGTAAAAAAAAGAATAATTGTATAAGCTCAGAAAAATAGGGTTAATCAGATCCATATAGTTTCACCCCCATTCAATAATCAAGAAAAATATCAAGAGAATGTGAGTTAGAAAAACAAACAAGCATTATAAAAAAAAAAGTTAATAGTGAGCAGAAGTTTTACTAAGCAAAATTGAAGTAAATATTTTAAATTTTTGTCTCTTATTTCACTCACCTATTTAACACAAGTGTTTGGGTATCTATCCTGGCATGGAGAGGGTATGGCTACAGTGCAGAGAGCAAAACCAGACATAGATGTAATCTTGCCTGCATGCAACTGCCCTTCTGAACAACCACACCAGGCACTATCCAAAAAACTAGGGGAATGCTTAAAAAGCCATGCAGGTAAAGGCAAGTGGTATAGTTGCCCTCAAACTCCTCCGGCTCAGTAGGAATACTCGTGTCCCATTATTTTCATCTTTCTGAAGCAGCTCTGGAATTCTTCTTTCCCATTTTCTCTAGTTGGATTGCCACAGCTGCCTAGATGCCCTGCATCGCTTCACAACGTTGACCCTTCAAAGTCACTGTGACTTTGGGGATGACCGTGAAGCTGCAAAGTGGCAGATCCAATGAAACAGGTGGATGAGTACACCGTCATGTTGTTCTCACCAGCCTGCCTTTCCAACGGATGACATGTGGAACACCGCTCACTGCCTCTGGTAACATCTTATCAAGAGTTCAACACCGCTTCAGGAAATGGCAAGGACAATGGGAGAAATCATTCAAAGGCAGGGGGATATTTTGAGACTTATTAATTGCAGTGTATATTTTACTAGATTTTTAAAAATGTAAACATTCATTTTATACATATATATATATATTTTTTTTTTCTTATTCCAGTACTGGGGATCGAACTCAGGACCTTGCCCTTGCAAGGCAGTAGCAGCACCACTGAGCTAAACCCCTGGCCCCAATCATTATATTTTTTGATCACATCATGTATGAATGCACAACAGTCAACTGTTTTAAGTGTTATTATGGAGAGATGGCATTTCAAGTGCACAAAAGGATCCTGTCTTTGAGAGAAGAGATGGCTTCCTGAAGGTTGATCGTCATGCTGCAGGGTGATGGTATCGAGTTCTGCAGGCCAAGAGGAAGCAGTGCAGACACATGCTAAGCCGTGCACTGGGTAGACACTGCTGGAGTCCCGAGACACTGTGACGCGAGTTGTGAAGCTGGCCCCCACAGAGGCAGCACATGAGGAGAACTTCCGAGACCAACAGCTTCAGACTGTGAGGAAAGTCTTGAAAACACGAACCATGATTTTCAGTGAATGGCGGCTCTATTACATCGAAGTATATTACTTCTAAACTAAGTATGATTCTGGATAAAAGGTGAATAAATAATTAGCTTCAAAAATTAATCCGAGACCTGAGGGATAAACTAGTAGAACAGAATAGAAGAAAAGAATTAAAATCCTGAAACCTGAACAGTAAATTCACGGTAGGGCAGTGGAGTGAGATTTTGATGCACTTGAAAAGAACCGCAGAGAACTGAGCAGCGGACTAATGTTTAGGAACAGACAGTTCCAAGTTAGGTATGGACTGGCTCAGTGACAAGCTGTTCCATCCCATCTACCTGGGGACCACGCAGACCCTGCTCTGTCCCTGAGCACGGTATCGGGGGTGAATAAAAAGACAGACAGACGACAGTCCTGAATGTCCTATCCCGTCACACAGTTTCTGTGTGTTTAAAGCAGTAACACTGTGGTACTCAAATGAGCAAGTTACAGTGGAGTGGGAGAGATTTAATACATCCCTTGTCATGAATAAATTAATTAAAAAGGTAGAAATATTAGCAAAGATATAAAGCAAGATGAACAAAATGATTACCACAATTAACCAACACACACACATGCACATTCATATAAACCTCTCTTCTTACGAACTTGACTGTTTTCTTTTTTAGAAAAATCTGTTTTATAAGTGTTATCCTCCTGGCTGGATTAAACAATTAAAAAGTTTCAAAAAAATTAAAATAGAGCTCCTTTTCTGAGAGTAAATTTATCTAGAAGTCAACTAGCATCATATCTAATTCTTAAATTCTCAAAATTAAGAAAATAAGGAATTTTTTAAATGGAGTTTGGGGTTACCAGGGCCACAGTAACTCTCTCGCAGCAAGAGAGTGCTTCTGGGTCAGACGCTCAGGCTCCTGAGTGGGGCTGCACACCACAGGATGCACACCATGGGGCTGCACACCATGGGCTGTATGCACACTATGGGCCACACACCACGGGCTGGACAACACAAGGCTGAACACCATAGGTCTGTCCACCACAGGTCTGCACAACACAGGGTTGCACACCATGGGCCACAGACCATGGCCTGCACACCACTGGCTGTGGATTGATGGCCAGACCAGGGGACAATCGCACTGCCCTCGCTCCCGGGCCACACAGGCAGGAGGAAACACGGTGTTAGGAGCCAGGAGAGGTTAGGGTTTGCATCCAAATCTGACTTCCCAAGGCAGACTCTCCTGAGGGACTGCTCTGCCTGGCCTCAACCTAGTGCTGAGGGAAAGGGCTCCTCAGGAGGCTGCTGAGAGCAGTGCAGTTGTCTCTGAGATGCTCAGCTTCCTGCCCAGGTCACCATGGGCTGGAAGGTGAAGTCTATCAAATCCCAAATTTGCTCCAGGGAGGAGAAAAGTGACAGCATTTGTCTTAGTTACTCTTCTCTCACTGCTGAGACCAAATCCCCGGTACCCCAAGTTACAGGAGGAAAGGTTTATTCAGCTCACAGTGTGTAGAGGTTTCAGTCCACAATGCTGGCTCCATGGCAGAGTGGCACAGGGCAGAGAGGAAACAGTTCACGGCACCCACTCCACTTGGAAGCAAAGGCAACAAGGGACCTTAACAGCCTCATCCAGCCCCTTTTATCTTAGACTACTTAGTGCAGGCAGCTCTCACACCCTTAAGCCTAGCACCCTTGGGCCTAGCATTGCACCATGAATCAGTCACACACTCTAGATGCAGCCACCTCTGAAAAGTACGAGGCTTTGGAGGGACATCCAAACACAGCTGTGTTTGTGCTCTGACATGTTTAAGGGCTTCCTGGGGACTTTCTCCTGAGTCACTTTTCTGAGAGCATTAATAGGACCCAATATATTCTAGACAAAAGGGTGCTGCTCATGTCAAAGGCAAGAGTCAGAGAGCAGTCAGCAACTGGAAGGTCAGATTACCTTGGCGTCTCTCTGAGTAGGAAAAGAGGCCCTGAAACACAGCCAGCATTCATGCTTCTGGGTAACTGCTTTCTAAATCACTTTAAATTTAAGAGTAATGATGGAGTCTCCGTGGATCTGTATGCCTGGGGACCTCCCAGAACAACAATATGAAGCGTTCTGCAGTGCTGCTGTACCCTAAAACTGGAGGACAGTGACAGTCCACTCAGGGAGCAGGGTACTGTACAGTCAAGGAAGGATTAAGACTTTACCAGCAAAAGTCTAGGAAAGACAAATCCATAGAACAGTTTTGCTGAAGCATTCAGTAAAGATTTGGAGAGGTGGCTATTTTTCTATGTTTTTGAGTCAAGGAATGCAAACTCAAAGAAACGTAGCTCAAATAAAGGAACAGAGGGGATCTCCAGATTGGTATCCTTAAAGGCAGGGAGGAATGTGCATGACTGAGTGAGAATTAAACCTCATCATCAGAACGTGCAACAAGCTCAGAAAAATGGTACAGGAACAACATGACAGTTTCAACAAAGCGATACAAAATATCGAAAAATTATAAAGTAGAAATTATGTGGCCGAAGTATGACACTTAAAAAGGTTACTGGAATGAATGGTTTGATGCCAGACTTGGTGAAGCACAAGAAAACAATCAAGTCCTATGAGAAATGTACTACGGGTATATCACGGGCGCATCATGGGTACGTCATGTACCACCAACATGCATACAAATATGTTTGTGTATGCACATTTTTATGGGTCCAAGAAGTTCAGAAGAGTGAGGAAGGGGAGGAGGTTAAAAGAAGAATTGAGAAATGTCATGTACATGTACCAACTCTCCATGATGAAGGAAATTATAGTGGGCTGCATATATGACCAGTGCAACAAATAAATATCAAAACATCAACTCAAAAACAGAGCCACATTCTACAAATTGTTTAAGGTAGGAAGCAACACAATGAAAGGCAACCTAGGAAAGGAGAGAAAATATGTGTGAACCATAGATCTGGCAAAGTGTTGATGTATAAAATATGTAAAGAATATCTGTTATTCAATAGTTGAAATAACAAAAATCCTGATTAAAAATATCCAAAGGAGACAAATAGTTGATAGGTATATGAAAAAGTGATAAATATCACTAATCATCAAAGAAAGATGAACTGAAACTATGATGGATCACCTCATACCTGTTAGGATCATTATCATTTAAAAAAAGAAAAGCAAAAATAATAATTGGGTTGTTGAAATGTTTTCTTAGTAGAAGCTTGCATCATGTAATGATTACATTCATCCGGAGGATGTGCATAGACATTTTAATTCTTTGTAATAACAGAAAATGTGGAGAGATGGAAACCCTTGTGCATTGTTGATGGGAACATGAAATGGTGTAGTGACTGTGGAAAACAGTACACGGGCTCATCAACAAAATAAGAGAAGCATTAGAATTCCCTCCTCGGAGTGTGCCTCTGAAGAGGGTACCAGAACATGGCAGAAAGTCTGCACCCTCCCTGAGGTGCCTGTGTTCACAGTAGTGAAGACATGGACACCACCAGCGGTCCCTCTGGGCATGTACAAATGAACAAGGCACTCGTTTTCAGTGGAGTAGCTCAGCTTAAGCATAGGGAGACCCTGACTCCTGTGGCAACAAGGATCTAGTTGAGTAAACTATAAAAGTGATAAATGCTAGTTACAGAAGGACAAATGCAACTTGATTCCCTTTATCCAAGAAATCTAAAGTAGCCAAACTCTCAGAAGCAAAAAGTAGAATGATGCAGCGAAAGGCTAAGTGAGTGAAAAGGAAAATCCTCTTTAATGGGTATAAATTTCAGTTATGCAAGCAAAAGTTTAGAGATCTACTATACAACACTGTACTTGTAGATAATATTCTATTATACAATTGAAATTTTGTTGAGTGTAGATTAATGCTATAAGCATTTTCTAATCAGTAAAAAACTAAAGTAGGAAGCATATTTCTTGATAACATACAAATTAAATATCTTAGAAATCAGAAAGCATCACTTGATAAAGAATACTATATAGCAACATTTGTGCAGGCTATACAGCTCTACTTCATAAGAAATTCTGAATCTTAATGATATTATTAAAAACAAATGAGATTCAGCATTAATAAATTTAGGCTCCATCACAAAAGCAGAAAAATAAAAGAAAAAGAAAAATAGATAACTTGGGATTTGCAAGAGAAAAGAGACAAAAATAGAGAAAAGAAATCAGGCAATCTCAGGAATGAAGAGACATTAAATATGCCGCCACCACCCCAAAAAACACAGCATGTTAGTGGCAAAGAAACAGGCCTGAGGATCAATAGAATAGATTAGAAGATGCAGAAACAACTCCAGACACACTCAGCTTTATCATCTTTGACAGAGCAACCAACCACCCTCATTGGAGGAAAGATAGCCTAGTTAATAAATGGTGTTGGAAAAACTGGATTTCAACCTGTCAAAGATTGAAACTAGACCCATGCCTATCACCATGCACTAAACTAAGATCAAAGTGGATTAAAGAGCTAAATATTAAGACAGAAACACTAAGCTTGCTGGAAGATAAGTTAGGTAGAACTCTTGACGATATCAGCATAGGAAAAGACTTCATGAACAAAACCTCAGTAGCACGGGGACTTCCACAAGGAATCAACACCTGGGATCTCATCTTATTAAAAAGCTTCTGCACTGCAAGAGAAACCACCAACAGAGCTAAGAGACAACTTACAATGTGGGAAAAAATTTTGAGCAGCTGCACCTTAGACAAAGGACTACTATCTAGAATATATAAAGAACTAAAAAAATCAGATCCCCCAAATTCAAAGACCCAATTCAAAAATGGGCATCTGAAATGAACAGACATTTCTCAGACAAAGAAGTAAAAGCAGCAAATAAATATATGAAAAAATGATCAACATCACTGGTCATTTGAGAGATGCAGATGAAAACAACACTGAGATTCTACCTCACTCCAGAAAGAATGGCTGCTATCAAGAAATCAACCAATAGCAAATGCTGGAAGGGTTGTGGGGAGAAAGGAACCCTTCTCCATTGCTGGTGGGAGTGCAGATTGGTGCAACCACTGTGGAAGTCAGTATGGAGATACCTCAAAGAACTAGGACTGGAAGTTCCATTTGACCCAGCTATTCCCCTGCTGGGTATCTTCCCAAAAGAATTCAAAGAATCATACCACAGCGATATATGTGCACCCATGTTCATAGTGGCACAGTTTGTAATAGTGAAAGCTTGGAAACAGCCCAAGTGCCAATCACCTGGAGACTGGATAAAGAAGATGTGGTTTTTTTATTTTAAAAAATAAAGAATATAAAAAATATAAGAATGATAAACTAAAGACATTTATAGCTAAATTGATGCACATTGAGATGATACTCTTATGTGAAATACATAGGATACACATGTGCAAATACCAAATAGTTTCTCTGGTGTGAGAAACTGAAAGTGTAGATGAGGATCAAACTGTATAATAGATAGTATGAAATGGGAAGAGAAGATCCATAGGGGAAAGGGGAGGAGAAGTGGGGGGGGGGGAGAGAAAGAAAAAAATTATGAGAAAAGGAAAAAATGGAAACAAAGTCTTTATAAATAGAGAAGGGTGGAGGGGTTGAAGGGAGGGCAGGGGAATGGGAAAAAATAAGAACCAAGATATGTTATGTTACAGGTACAAATTCCCAATGATGAATGCCATCATATTGTATACCTAAATTGTACCAATAATCTTAATGAATAAAAAATGTACTTGCAGATTACTCCATATTGATAAAGAATTTCCATTTAGTTTTTGTTGTTGTTGATGACTGAATTGGTAACATATGTATGCATCACAATATATCATTTATTAATGAACATTACAGTATTCTCAGTCCTTTGAAATTATTGTCAGTGCTCTATTGATTAACTGCACGTTGCATCATGGCCAATATGTGTAAGATAAACCCTTGAAAATTCAATTGTTGGCCAGGAACTGTCTGTAATTTATAATATTGATGAATATTCTCAGTTCCCATCCATACTGGTTATATAAATTTACAAACCCACAATTATATGTAGTATGATAGTCCTTATTTCTTCAGATATTTTCCAGTTAAAAAAGTATTAGACATTTTGTCTTTGACTGTCTGATAAGTAAAAAATTATGTATGACTGAAGTTTCACCTTGTCTTTCTCAGTACTTTAATTTGGATCTACACTGTCCACAAAAGCCCCATGTGTTAAAGGGTTGGCACTTAGTTTGCATAATTGGAAAGTGCTGGCACATTTAAGCAGCAGGACCTATTGGGACACTTTTGGTCACTGGAGTTATGCCTTCACAGGATCGAGGGACATTGGCTTCCTGTTCTTCTTTCTCAGGTACTACGAGTTGGGTAGCTTGCTCAATCATGCACTGCCTACCATGATGAACTATATCGCCATTGGCCCAAAAGTAATGGATCTGCCCAACCATGGACTGAAACCTCCAACACTCTGAGCCAAAGAAAACTTTCCTGATGATGAGTTTGTAGCAGTGACAGAAAGATGAATTCTATATGTAAGGGAGATTAAACATTTTTCATGTGTCTTGGGGCCTGTCAAGTGTTCTTTTTATGAGAAATTTATGTTTTCCCCATTTCTGTACTGCTGTTAGTCTTTTATACATTATACATTATTTTCTCATTCCTTCATGTAACTGTAGATAATCACTACATACTTCTTTCATGAGTTAATATATATGCTATCTAAAACATTCTGCTTTAATGTTATATTTAAATATTGGTTCAACAACAAATTTATTTTAATTTAAGAACAAAAGAAGAGACCTCTGTCAGAAAGGTTTCCTATCACTGGAACATGATATCTGACACCTAAAATGCGAAGGAGAAGAGGATTAATGTTATTCATGATTTTAGAGGATTCAGTTAATGCCTGGCTGATTCTAAGGGAGAGACATGGCTGAAGGACAAAAGCAGTTTAGGTTATGTCAGCCAGAAAGCAAAGCAGGGATACAGTGACAGAAATTAAAGACTCCAGGGGCCATGCCTAGTACCTGAAGCCATACCCACCTATTCCCCTGCTGGGATCTTCCCAAAAGAATTAAAAGAATCATACCACAGCGATATATGTGTACCCATGTTTATACCAGCACAGTTTGTCATAGCTAAAGCTTGGAAACAGCCCAAGTGCCCATCAGCTGGAGACTGGATAAAGAAGATGTGGGTTTTTTATATGTATAGAAAATGGAGTACTACTCAGCCACAAAAAATGAGAAACTAGAGACATTTATAGGTAAATGGATGCACATTGAGGCAATCTCTTAAGTGAAATAAATAGGACACATATGTGTAAATACCGAATAGTTTCTCTGGTGTGAGAAACTGAAGGTGTAAATAAGGATCAAAATGTATAACTGATAATGTGAAATAGGAAGAAAAGGTCTAAAGGGGAAGGGGAAGTGGGAGGGGTAGGGGAAGTGGGAGGGGTAGGGGAAAGGAAAAAATAGAAGAAAATGAAAAGATGGAAACAAACTCTTTGTTAATAGGGAAGGGTGAGGGGGTGAAGGGAGGACAGGAAATGGGGAAAAAATAAGAACCAAGAGGCTCATGTAAAGGTGCAAGTTCCCAATGATGAATGTAACTGTACTGCATACCTAAAATGTAGCAATAAACTTAATGAAAAAAATGCCAAAATAGTACATCGAAAATAAGAGTATAATATGATGAATTATATGCTGATGTATTTGAAATTTTAAATGAAATAGAAAAATTCTTCGAAGAAGATCGTTTACTGTTATTGAATCAGGGAGAAACAGAATTCTTGAACATCCTCCAGTTCAAGGTTGAGTTGGCTTAGTGGCCCTTCGTCCTTACACCACTGTCCCTCCTGACTTCGTGAGAGTGTTCTGCTAAATATCAAAGAAGAGCAATCAGCATCCCACACATTTGCTTCTAAGAAACAGGGGCAAGAGTATTCTATTCATTTTGTGATACCCTCACAGCAAAAGAAAGGGAAATTACAGAGATTTCTCCTCCCTCGTGGACGTAATTGCACAAATAATACCTTAAGAAAATGTCGTGGGCCAGAGAAATGGTTCTTCACGTTCAACGACTGAATGGAAGAGAGATCAGTGAAGGAGCCCTGTTCAGCGCGGTGGAAGCTGCGTCCTCTGTGGAACGGCTGAGGCGATTCAGGGAGGGGCCTTACTGGGCCCAGGAGCCGGTTCCGCCTCCGCGTGGGAACGCACCTGGCAAGGTACGTGTTGGTGACGCGGGGCTGCCTTATGGCACCAGTACCTGGACTTCTGCAGCAGCCACTGCAGCTTCACCCTGCAAGGGAAAGGCCGCTCAGGTTGGCGTCTCCGACACTGTCCCCGCCTGAGCCCCTTTGTCAGTCTCCTCGGATGAAGCCAGGGATGAAATACACATTCTTGCAAGTATGTGAAATACAAATAAGAACAGAGTACTTTCCAGGCCACATACATAAGCAAATTAAAAAGGCTAAAATATTAACTACCGGCGTGGCATGTCCGAAATGTTTGCAGCAAAGAAACAGTGAATATCTAGAGCGCGTAAAAGCTTCCACTCTGGCTCCAGAGGCTGAATACCACCCCACAGAGCATTTCTAGCTCACGCATAAGGAGACGTGCGAGAGGGTTCACTGCAGTGTAGAACTCAACTGCAAACTTCTCACATCAGTCCAGTGTCCAATAATATTATGTCAGATACATAAGTGATATTGTACTCGTATCATAGAATATGATGTAGTATTTTGGTGAATAAATTAGATGCTATAAGTCAACATGAAGAAACCTTGGAAGTGTAATATTGAGCAATAAAAGCAAGTTTTTATTCATGCAAATTCGGAATAAATGTATAAAATATGGGAGGGAATGTTAACTGACATCAAACACAGTGCTTATTTAGCAGGAGAGCAAACTTGAATGACTATAAGCTTCAACTATATGGATAGAATTTTGTTTACAAAAATATTTCGGAAGAAATATACAGAAATGTGTCAAATAGTGAAACAGAATCATTTACATAATTATATTCCGTTATAATTGTAACTATACTTCCATTTATGTTTTGCTTTTCAATTTAAATGTCTTAATTTTTAACAGGATGGGATAAGTATTGGCCAGCTTTCCTGTGGGTGGGGAAAAATAAGCGACACCCGCAATTCCCGGGAGGAGAGGTCTATGGGCTCATGGTCTCAGATTTCAGCCCACAGCTGGCTCCAAAGCAGAGGCCTCGCAGCGGCAGAACCAGCCCTTGCGGGCGGCCAGGAAGGGAAGCAAGAGCGTCGGGAGCGCTCCTGAGAGGAAGAGCCTAGGGCCAGAGAGTCCCACAGCCACAGGCGGCCCACGATCCGCCCACACACCAGAGGCTGCTTTACCAGTCTGCTCAGCCTCCTTTAACCCAGTCAAGTCACCAGTCACAACGAACAGCGGCAGGATGTCAGATGTTTAGATACAAAAGTATTTCATCGCTGAATTTTTAGTAAACCTGGTGTTCCTAAAACTATGCATAGTTTCCAGTGTGTGGCATCCTAGCCCCAAGGTGCTGAGAACTTTCTGTGCCTGTGGCTGGTGACAGGGAAATTCCAGTTTTAAAGATGACAGAGATCCGCATTCAGGCCTCAGAAAGCTGCTGGACGTTCCATATGGAAATGGCAGTTAAACGACTGCCGAAGCAATGAGATCCGAATTCTAAGCATGAACTGCACAAGTCCTGGCATGACCTTGCACGAGGTCAGACTTCAGGAGATGCAGGCCAAGAAGCGGCAGAGCCTGGAGAAGTCTGCTTTCAGAAACCATGCTGCCTACAGCCCACTTCCGACTGCTTTTAATTTTGGTTCACTTAACAGAGATGGCAGAATCAATGCATTTGAAAATGTATCAGTAAACATTGCCAAACCCTTGGTCAAAAGAGAGAAAACAACAAATGAAGAGAACCTCAGAAGTTTGTTGGAGAACATCGAGTTGTTCAATATTTATCTAATTGGGAACTCAAAGAGAAATAAGAAGTGTCCAGCATTTATACTGGGTGAAATAACTTATTAATATGCCACTTTTTGAAAAATCTCAACTTTAAGCTTATATATTATGCACGATTCTCTTTGTTTAAAATTTCAGAACATAACTAATCAATAATGTCAAAATGCAAAAATCACAGTGATGGATATGATGATGCGTTTGCCTGTTTCTCTAAATACAAACCTATACAACATCTTGCTGTGCACTTTAAAGGTACAAAATAAAAATGATAAACTAAACAAAATTAAAATTTGCCTGGTAGAGAATAGATTGCAAAGGAATCTTTGCAATGGTTCTTTGCAAAGGTGATGGGAGCTTTCAAGATTATGGTAGTAGTTTTTTTTATTATTATTTTTTATTTTTTTAATGGTAGTGGTTTGCAGGTATATGGTTTTGTAAAACTTACCGAAATGTGTGTGTGTGGGGGGGGTTAGGATTGAACCTAGGGTCTTTACACCATGCTACAATCCCAGACATTTTTTATTTATTATATTTTTTATTTTGAGACAGACTCTTGCTAAGTTGCTGAATTGGTCAGGCTGGGTGGCAGTTGTGACCCCCATCATGTCAGCCTCCCAAAATGCATGTACCACACATCGGGCTCAAATTCTATACTTTAAATGTTCACAGGATACTGACTATAAATCAAACTCCAGTAAGTTACAAAACATAATTGAAAAATTTTCAATAGCATGAATATTTTATCTGTAACGGTTATTTTAGTAGGTAGATAAAATACAATCAAATTTCAGATTTTACAAATAATTGAACAAATTCCATTATACAGTGTCATCATGTTTGCTTCTAGCAACGTGTGAAACTTTAAAAACTCATAGTTTTGGGTGATGATACCTGATAAATGCCTGCTACAATACAGTTCTGTGTGTACTACACATTTGCAGAATATTCTTCTTCATCTTTAAAGTAAAACTTCTGTTCACAGATATATACAACATTACCCTCTGTGTTCTTGGCAAAAGCAAAAATAAAATGACAGAATAATGTAGCACTGTGGGTCCTAACAGTGCACAGAAACCGGCATATGCTACAGTTTATAAAACATGAAACAATGAAAGCAACAGCATGAAGTTCACGTCGTGTGCATTTATTCTTCCACTGGACTGTGGATGACCTTGGTAATGACATAAACTTTCTGTTTTGCCCTCTGAAAATGTGTGTGACGCTTATGCATTGCAAAGCAATCCCAGTTCCAAGTGGCCTTTGCCCATAGTAATGTGATGCTGCCCCATAGGCTGTTATGCATCTACTCACTGCTTACTACTAGTGATGGAGACTCACAGTGACAAGCACATAATAAAGAACAAGGACAAAACTCAGGCCAAAATTCAGGATGAAGGTAAAGTTACAAAAAATTAAACATAGCTGCTGAGAGCCACCTATAAGATGTGATCCATGCCATTCAGATTACTACATAAGCACGAGCGCATACAGATTTGATTTGTGCTTTCATAGAAAACTTTCACTAGCGTAAAGCATTTGTAAGTCTCTAGAAATCACAACTGCATAGTTATCAGTTAGAATGTGTGGAGCAGATTTGTACCATTGTTAGAAAAGATACATTCTCATGTACATCCGTAACATTTGCCGAAGTGCTGACACTTTGCGTGCCAGGTAAGAAAGACTGGGCAAAAGAAAGAGAAGACCCAATTCTGCCTTAAGACTTTATCAGCGGGGATTTAGCTCAGTGGTTTCGCTGCCTGCTGTGCAAGCGCAAGGACCCGAGTTTGATCCCCCCCGGTACCAAAAAAAAAAAAAGACTTTATCATCTCTCTAGAGTGTATATATTTGCAAAAAATGAGTTAAAGGGCTAGGGATTTAGCTCAGTGGTTCCACCACCTGCCTCAGAAGCACAAGGTCCTGAGTTCGATCCCCAGTACCAAACAAAAAAAATGAGTTAAAGTAAGACTAAAATACAGTAGTTACATATACCACTAGGAAAAATATACCAAAGATCTCTATGAGATAAACAGCCCTCTTCCAAAAGCAGTGACAGAAAGAGATTTTAAAAAGTCTTACAAAAGATGGCTTTTGAGATATTTCTTGAAAAATGCCAGAGCTAAATTTTAAAAATTCTCTATGCGAGAAGAAAAAACCTTCACAAAACAAAGATACAAGAGCAATGATATTTTCAGGGCTTGTAAAGTATTGATGTATGCAAGTACTTCTGCAGTGAATAAATCTGGATTAACAAGAGTTTGCTTCTAAGAGTCCCTTTGCTTTGTGTTTGCAAAAATAAGGATTCTATAAACAGTTTGCTCTATGTTTCTTTTTCCAGTGCTAATTTGCATCCATATATAATGGAGAATTTTTAACGGCCATTTGGATCCTTGCAAATGGAAGAAATTAAACTCAAAACAAGAATATATTTAGTTTTTTGTGTAACCTCATCTTGATTTCCAGGTTCATCATGATTTCAGTCAGAGAGTAAGTGATCAGTAAGCTTGATCATTTAACTTGATTTTTGTTTTTGTGATTTCTATTTCATTGTTTTTCAGTGGTCACAGGTGCATTACATTCTTTTCTTAGCTACTTTTTATAAGAGGCAGAATCCAAAAGAATAGCAAGGTTTTCCATTAAAATTCTATGTACGTGTATAGATGTGAAGTGCAGCACATTGTTGACAACCTTGTTGAGACTGTCTGTCCTGAGAGTGTATTTTGTCTGATTGTGAATGCTAAGTAAGTTCCGCTATAAATATACCAATAAAATAAGAGATTTCAAGTGTTGCATGAATGCAGAACTCTTCATCAATAAAGCGACTCATTAGTAAATGTCAGCTCGTCTCTCTCCTTTATTCTTGGCAGGCATCTGACAGCATTGCAAATATTAAAAGAACAGATATGCTTTCCATGACTGTAGCATGAGACCAGGAGGAAGGGACAATTGAATTTCATGTTTTAAATAAGAAAACAACTTACAAGCATGACTGAGGAGATAGAAGGAACCCCAGGGGTTATCTAGTCAAATATTCTTTTTTTATACGTAAGAAAAGTAAAGTTCAAAGCTTTAAATGAGTAAATCATCCCAAACACACAGTCTAGTGCTGCTTCAATTCCACCAATGTACTTCAACATTTGGATATAAAATACTTCCCATAATTTAAAATAGCACTTTATGAGAATGCACATTCTAATTTGAAATATGAGGTAAGCACACAAATGTGTTTGAAACGCCTCACATTAAATCATCCAACAAGAAACCAAATTTTGTCCATCAGTCAGCACTGCCTTTGGAGACTGTCAAAGGCCATCCCACATTACAGTAAGAAATTATTCCTAAATTTATCTTAGGATGAATCCTCACATAGAACTTTTCTGAGTTAGACAGTTTCTAGTATGATTTCTATTATTAAATAAGAAAGGGGAGGCAGAGAATTTGAATAACTGTCCAGCATCAAATAAACTGGAAATAGTAAACCCAGGGTTAGGACCAGTGCGTAGTAAGATAGAGACCCTGAAGGAGCCTCTTACTCCTTATGTCATGGACTTCAACATACGTACTGGATGTTGCTGCCTGAGCCCCTCCGGTCCTTGAATTTCTCCAATACAGTGGACCCTCAAGTTACGACCTGTCTGATGTATGAATAACTTGGGTTCCAACTGGTATTTTAGTTTTAATGTATGAACAAAGTCTTGAGTTACAACCTAAAGGCCAGGCTGCTTGTGCTTTCAGATAGTCTCAGATACAGATTTAACCCTTAAAGAGCTCTGGAAGGAACATGACAGCATCCTTTCCTGTGTGGGGTTCACTGAGAAATCCTGCTCCACTGTCTGTCTAAGGACACTGAGATCTGCCTGTGTACAGGAGAGAGGCTTTGAAGGCTGTGTAAGAGCCTGAGCCTCAACTGACCAACTTGAGTTACAACCAGCCCTCGGGAATGAATTGAGTTCGTAAGTCAAGGGTCCACTGTATCTAGTTGCCCAACTCCACTGTAATGATACCAGGTGATTCTTCTATGGTCAACCTGCTACCCAGAACTTCTATATGTTTAGAAACATTAAGAACTCAAGATGAGTTTTCCAGTGTCTGAATCACCCATGTAATTCTGCTAAAAAGAACACCGAAATAGAATCAGGACACTTAGCATCACCGCAGCTTCTTTCACTGTTCTTTGTTTCTTTTCTCATAATATATGTAAAAATGGGTAGTGGTCTTGCAGGATATGGTAATGCTTCAAAAACAAAGATTTTGCATTTTCTTAAAATGTAAGAGTACAACTTATTGACCTTGAGTTAACCAATGATTTTATGCTTTTTACCAAAAGCAGAAATTTTTAAAAAGGTGATGTTTGAATTCATCAAAAATAAAAAGCTCTGTTTTAAAAGACATCAGCAAGAAAATGAAAAGACAGACCATAAGGTGTGAGAAGATACTGCAATTTACATATCTGTAAAATCATCCGTTTATAGACTGCATAAGGAAATATTACAAGGAAATAACGAGAAAATTCCAGTTAAAAGGGACAAACTATCTATCAGCCTAGAATTGTATAAAAGGATGCTCCACTATATTGCTTATTAGGAAAGGTCAATCAGCACCACAATAACAATCCACTATTCCATCCCCAAGGTGAC